ATTTCTCACCTCCCTTTAAAGAATAAATTTATACATCACCAGTTAAAATACAAATCAGACTTGACTTAAAGCATTGCGAGGTATTGCAACACACCCACTAACACCCAGTTATTTGGAACAGGAATTTAATCTAGATTCTACTGAGATACAGGCATGCAAAGAAACCTGACATCAGGTTATAAAAATAGAAAACAGATGGCTGCTCAGCACACAAACAGTGTTACTATGCTCAGCTTAAAGATACTTTAACCTGAGTAATAACAAAAACAAAAATTTAATTAATAAATATATAAATAAAAATAAAAGCCTTAAAATTCAGCTACATCAGGATATAAAAAAGTTGATTTAATGAATAAAATTTAAAGCACTGTCAGATGTACAAAAACTTGGTGCCACTTAGAGAAAGACTAAATAAAAGGTACTTTGTGCTAAGAACAGCAATTCCTTGTTAAAAGTGTCAAATACATAGAAACCAGGTTGTTTTAAAACTGGGACTATTAAAGACTTCTGCACTTAAGAATCAGAAGCCCTGAAAACTCATTCTGATTCATGCACAAAGGGGAATAACCATCTACCAAAAAATCTTAAGACATTTTTCCAGCCAGATTCTAAAACAAATCCAAGCAAGAGGGGGGGCAGAATGGTGTTCTAGGAAACATTTTCCCAGTACTATCGCAGTTAATACCGCAATTCAAAGAGCAAGAAGAACAGTAATAAAAACACTGAAAATAACTAGCTTATTTCTCCAACCCTACCTGGGAAATACCAGGCTTGAGAAGTGAACAGCACAGTTCAGTGTTTAAGTCTAAAAAATCTGTTCCTTCCTTCCAATAGTAAAGACACTTCGGATTGCATTACGATCCTCCACATTTCATTCCTTTCACCTGTACACCTTAGTCTCCCACCCCAGCCCAGAAGGGAACATTCTTATCCTCATGCTTATCAAACCACTGGGTCTGGACTTCTGTTACCGACACTGCCCTTCCACCACACCTTCAAGGTTCTCCCATCAACACACCGCTCAGACAGCTCACTGTACATTAGACCTAGCCCAAAGTCAACTATCTCTTCCCCCCTCTTAGGCAACTGGGCGGGGCCCAGCACAACACAGACTCTCTGGCCCAGACCCCCAACAGGCTGCTGAGAGGAGGGCGCACTGCAGCACACACCTCTGGACCATCACCGAGGAAAGAGGCCTGGGCTCTACCAGCTGAGCCCCTCCCTGAGCAGTCTGATAGCAAATGCCTCATAAGTTTCACGGAACAGCATCAACAGGATTCACTGAAGGACAAAATTCTTTTTGGCTATTGCACACATGGTATTAAAAATGCCTGTTATTACTAGAAAGGGCCTCTCTCACCTATAACAATAATAAAATAATCTTATAAGTTTTATATAAATATAGTGTATAAAAAAGGAAACTTTGTTTTCTTCCAAGATTCATACATGATTGCTAAAAGTATTTGTCATAGCCCTCCTACAACACAATACTTCACTTGGCAATCATCTTATCTCTCATTACACCTCTGTAGGATGATAGCTCTTTTGCATAACAATGCTTCTTGTTTTGCCATTATTTGAACAGCACCCCCCAACAGATAAGCATTTCCTCTGGTGTCTACCCACAGCCTTTGATCAGCTTTTCTGGGCATTTTCCTTTCTCAATTAATGCCCTTACTCATGAACTAGTCCCAGAACACAGTTAGCTGCTCTCAGCCCAGAGGACCCCACTAAACCAAAAGCTCAGTGTCCCAGACAGTTGGGGTTTTTCTACCTAAGAAACATCAAACCTGCCCTGGCTGGTGTGGCTCAGTGGATTGAGTGCTAGCCTGCGAACTAAAGGGTTGCTGGTTCAAGTCCCTGTTGGGGCACGTGCCTGAGTTGTGCGCCAGGTCCCCAGTAGGGGGTGCAGGAGACACAACCACACACGGATGTTTCTCTCCCTCTCTTTCTCCCTTCCCCTCTGTCTAAAAATAAATAAAATAAAATCTTAAAAAAAGACATCAAATCCCAAAAGGCAATAAAAGGCTTAACTTTATGCTAAACTATGGTTCAATAAGCAACTGCCAGCACACACAAAAGAAGTAACACAGACATGAGTAACAGTGAAAAATTCAAGCCATTCCTCAAACTTAAGATAGCTTGTGTTTATGGACAGCTTTCCACAAAACTGTAATTTTTAACAACATGAATGTCACATTTCCTACTAGCCAAATAGCACCTACATCATATGAAAGAATGAAGTATGTCAGCATGTCACAGACCTGTACAAACAGCACCGTGACCAATGGGGAAAATCAGCAGTGATCTGGGAGACGACTACTGATCCCCACTCAGAGACACATGCAGAAAGGGAGCTACTGCAGCCAAAGCACCTGTGAACAGCATTTTGTCAACTCGGCACTTAATTATTCCCTTCCACCTCAAAAAATATTAATTATAAAAATAAAAACACTAGTTTTTAGCCAGTGTAAAAGAGGAAGATTGTGTGTGACTCCTTTGTTTATTTTCCACTGTGTCACCCACTCTAGCGCCTGCAGCCTACGGGCAGAGGCCAGGCAACCGTTTAAGGCCACAGTCTGCTCTGGCATGGGACACTGAGAGAGACCCAGAGGGACGGGCCCGCCATAACCCCAAACCCATGCATCTCCTTCACCCTCATCTCTGGTCAAATCCCCACACCACTTAGAACATCACCGAGTCCCTTCATGTGCAGCCAAGCCACCGGAAAAGCCAGGATGCCTGCTGCCCAGGCCCAGAATGAAAATGATCTAAACTTGCTCCTCAATGAGGGGAAAAATCTATCCTCTAACGTCATCTAAATTTCCACGGATTCTTTTCCTTTTTGCCCCATTTTCTATTAATCTTCCCTATATTTCAACTTTCTTCCATCCTTTTTATTCCTTCATCTCTGTTCCAAGTTCTTTTGCTACTTCTTTTCAGGACCCCGAGGGCCGGAATAATACCCTCTTATGACAGTAGAGAAGGATGTACACCAGGAACGAGGGAATCTAGCTCACACCAACAGCACCAGCTACGGCCATCAACAGTTGGCAAAATCCACAAGTATCCAAGAAATAATTCAATGCCTACTATGGTTGAAACACTGTGACAGGAATGATGGGGCATACAATGTATAAAGCAGTTTCTGCCCTCCAATAAGTAACGTTCTTCTAGTTGAAGAAACCATGCGACAATATGTGGAAAAGGTTAAACACGTGGGCTAGGTACTGAGACTAAAGGCACAACCACAGTTTTCTAGGGGTTCTTAAGGAGACTCACTCAGGGGAAGGACGAGCTAGACTCCGAAGGAGCCCTGAAGGACTAAAAGGCGAGGAAGGCCTTCCTAGGGAGAGAAGGCTTTTCAGAGGGCTGACCATATGTCAGCATAAGGAAAGATGTAAAATGGTGAATTTGATGTTACATGTATTTTACGACACACACACACACACAAAAGATGGAAAGAGAGGCTCCTGGGCCCTCACCTGTCTCTAGCAGTGTAGGAAAGTCGGCACAGAGGGCCTGACAAACTGAAAACTTCTATGAATAGATGGAAACACTCAGAGGAACTTAGTCAACAGACACTGTCCAACACATAGCCCCACACTTGACAATTCCTCTTCCAACTGTAAATACCAACATTGTATATAACCTGGCAATATGATTAAAGCAAAAGAAGCTAGCTGACCAGAGAGGGAGAGGTGTGCAGGGTAAGGAAGAAAGAAACCTGATGCCTCTCTTTATTAGGGCAACCCCCTCTAGAGACAGAAGTACCAGCAGCTCTGCTGTAGCTATGGTGCAGAAATCCCAAACCCCGAGGTCCTAATGGGTCTCCTTTCTCCAGAGTTTTTTTCTGTTAAGCACAAAAGAGAAAGTCTGCAATCACCTCAAGAAGTGAGTCACAAAAAAAAAAACCTCTAGCATTCAGCTTCTAGATAGTTGCTAAAAAAGCCCTGAGTATCTAAATTCAAGGTTAGTCTTTGCTGACCACCTGGGGGAAAAAACCTAAACTAGTAGATAACTGTTAGAGAAATCACACACAGCACACTTTAGTTATTTCCATTTAAATACCAACAAGATTGTTTGACTGAAATCACACCAATGTACCCTTGACCTTCAATTTGAACAGACAACAAAGTCTATAATAGCTCCTGAAGGAAGGTCAAAGAAAACAGTAAAATAAGAAAAATCTCCTCATTTTCACATAATGGCCAACACAGAGAAGAAAGAAATGTGCTGGGAAATTGTCTACATGACCGTAAAAATATTCATAGTACGTAATGTTCTATGTGACTGTATAATATACTAGTGCAATATTACTTATTACAAAATGTTCATAGTGAGGACAGTAACTGGCCTGAGGTGTAAGAGACTGAAAAATACGATAGTTTAAGTTTAGTTAAAAATACAGTGCTTGATGGAATAACCAACTTTATTACTTCTTTAAAATTTCCGTATTAACAACCCTCTCAAATAAGTGAAATACAAGCTATGAGAACTTACTTTATTCTTGTATTTATTGCTATAAGATTTCTTCCAACATTAGTCACCAGCATATGAAACAAATGAGGTCATTAGCTCAGAGGCGCTGATTATTTAGGGCAAACCAGGTGCCTAGGCACTTCTCACGACATTTATCAGTCACTCAACATGGCTGTGTACAAGATGGTGATTCTGATGCTTATCATGTCTTAATAAAGTTTCATAAGACTCACATTCTTAAACAAGTGTTAATTTGCAATTCTGCTTCTACATAGTTCTAGTCTATCATTTCTGAATCTGCCCTCCTTTCTAATTCTTGGCGGTCTGGGAAACTGAGGGTCTTAGATATGCATGTATTAGAAAACAAGGTAAAAATGATCCAACATATACTCAGATTTGTTTTCAAGCTACAGGGCCATTCCATCAGTCTGGAGGAAACATTAGTTAGCAATAGCTCAAATTCAGATTTAAGATTTAATTGAGGGGGGATTACACTTGGCACTGACAACACTGCTCACCTTTAAGACAGAGGCTAAGCTGGTCATGTGCTCATTGAGAGCACCCTCGGACTCCTTGTAGGTCAGGCAAGTAAACTGGTACTCCTCAGGATCAAAGGCATCAGCCCCCTGCTGCTCCACATCGCTGGCTACTCCCACATAATAGTCCTCTATGTCCCCAGGGTCCTCGTCCTCTTCCTCCTCTTCACAATTTGGGTCATAGTCCTCTTCATTGCTGTCAGACCCCTGGCTATTCATGTCCACAGACATCTTAGCATCCAGCCAAGTTGCAAATCAGGAAAGCAGGGTTTTTTCCCCTCCCCCCAATCTTTACCACTTTCTCAAATACATTAGTGTTTTTGTCTTCTAAGGAAGAAAAAGAAAAAAAATGCACGTTACTTTCACTGTGAGAAGTTGTAACAGAAGTCATTCAAGAGTCAAAATGGCATAGCCCTGGCCCTACACCCACTATGGCCTATTCCCAACTCTTGTCTCAGATAGGTCACCTCCCCTCATCCAAGGGAAACCCTTTCCTGGAGGGGCAGAAGTGGCTGATAATGGTAACTTCACATGAAGGCCCTAGTGTGAAAAAGTAAGGCTGCTCTGTGTCAATGCGTCCCTTCTGCCAGAATCTTTAATAGAGAAGCACATCCCCACAGCTGCCCACAGGGGAAGCAATGTAAAGGCTGAACTACCAAAGTTTATAATCACTTTGCTAATCACATCCCACTTAATGGTGACAAAGACAGCACATAAACAGGGACACAGTTCCCAATATATACAATAGCTAGGGAAAAAAATCACTCTGTCACAGACATCACTCTTAGACATCTGGAAGCAGTTGCATAGTTAGTAAAGAAAACAAGCCACATAGCTCTTCAACATCTTCCTCTAGCCTGCAAAGTTAACTGACTCGGTCTTAAAGGGTTTTTTACCCATCCTTTAAATAGAGTACTTAGGGGCAAAGAGACTGACCTAATAATGAAGGAAAACTACAGATATTCTCTGTCTTAGCATGATCAAGGCTAGGGAAAACCAGAATCTATTTAGGGCGAAAAGGTCAAATGAAAACAGCTACTGAAAAATCTTCACAGCTGCCCTGGCAGTTGTGGCTCAGTGGATTGAGCGCTGGCCTGCAAACCAAAAGGTTGCTGGTTCAATTCCCAATCAGAGCACATGCCTGGGTTGCAGCCGGGTTCCCGATGGAGGGGTGCGTGAGAGGCAACCACACACTGACGTTTCTCTCCCTCTCTTTCTCCCCCCCTTACTCTCTCTCTAAAAATAAATAAAATATTAAAAAAGAAAAAGAGAAATCTTCACAGTTCAAAATACTACTCAATCACATATAAATGAACAGAGAATACTAGTTGAGAAAGCAAAATAATCACAAGTACTAACTTCAACTCAAAGACATTGGCAAATACCCATTAACTTCTCTGCACAAGTACTATTTCAAGTGATAATTTCCAATAAATAATATCAAATAGTGACCTAAATCTAAAAACAGACAACCTTAAAATGCAAGAGCATTTAAACTGAATGGTATGTAAATAATTTACACAAACAAATCTGAATTAAATACAAATGTAAAGTCTATTTGAAGTAGATAACCTCTAAAAAGAAATTAAGCCAAAGATTAAAAATGTATATACTGAATATGTAACCAGTCTAAAGGACTGTAGAGCCTCATTTTAATAATAAAATTTAAAATAAATTCAGTGAATCTAAGTTTGATGTTGACTACAAATGCCCAATTTTTTAAAATCATGTAAGAGAACAGTAATGTAGTATTTGCAATTTCACTTTTAGTAAGATGTTTTATGTGGTAGAACCACCAATTCACAACTGAACTTAACTATGGTAGTTTTCATTTAGAAAAAAAAGTTAAAATTTAAATTACAAATACCTGTAATCCTTGAAGATCTTTCAGAAAGATGTTGCCCAAATACTCTGTCATATGATTTCCATCTAAAATGAAAAGAGAAAATTCTAATTATGTATTTTAAATTGGTACCCTACTTTTGCAAGTTTATTTTTTAAAAAGCAAAGACATTTAAAAGGACAAGCAGGAAGAGACCAGAACAACTATGAAATTACAACTGACCCTTGAACATGGATCTGAACTACATGAGTCCACTTATATGTGGATTTTTTTCAATCAATACTATAAATATATTTTCTCTTCTTTGTAATTTTCTTAATATTTTATTTTCTCTAGCTTACCTTATTGTAACAGTATAACATATAATACATGTAAACACAAAACGTATTCATTAACATTTATGTTATTGGTCGATAGTACACTATTATTTAGGGACTTAAAAGTTATACACAGCCGTGGCTGGGTGGCCCAGTTGGTTAGAGCATCATCCAGATATGCCAAGGTTGCAGGTTCGATGGCCAGTCAGGGCACATACAAGAAGCAACCAATGATGCATGAATAAGTGCAACAACAAATCGAGGTTTCTCTCTCCCTCTAAAAATCAATAAGAAAGTTATACATAGATTTTACACTGTGCAGGGGGCAACACCTCTAATCCTCACATTATTCAAGGGTCAACTGTATTTCCTTGTATGTCCCACAGAAATCCATTTCTCATAATTATATTGACAAATTAAGTGGTCCTCTTAAAAGAAAGAAAGTATTCAAAATCAAGAGCTGACAATAACCTAACTTGGGGTGCTGATGATGGAAATGTATACCCAATTCCCTCCCTCAATTTGAAAGCCAACCTATTGTTCAATCCTAAATGTGGACAAAGTAAATTGCAACCGACTTAAAACTGGATTTTTACTATAAATTCACTTCCACTGTAGTAATCTAACACTTACTGAATACTGCCAATATTTCAGACCTCACTTTACTCACAAAAAAATTATTTTCAAATAAAAAATGTCCCTTCCAGGATGACACTAGGCAATATTGACTCCCAATTCCCACCTCTCTTCTGACATGCTCAAGGGCCTCCTGTCAGAGATCCAGACCCTGCTATCTAAGACGAAGTAAGTACTACTTGCTTATCCAATTAGGTATTTTATGTCTATTTCTTAATCCTTTCGGATTTCTCAGAAAACTAGAGCTTACAACTTCTAAACATAAGACAAGCAAATACAACCTAAATGAAAAGCAAAGTCTGAACAATAACTGTGGCATAGTATTTTCAAAATACTGGAGGAGCAATTGAGTTTTTAAAAAATCTTTTTTCTTTTACCTGTATTTTTATGTAAGATACCGTGTACTGGGCAAACAAAATCGATGAATATTGCTCCTATCTACGAAATATCACTACCAATAGCTCTCCTGTAATGAGAGCCAATTTCAGGACCAAGTCCTTCTCAGCAAACCTCCACAACCCAACAAAGCGGCTGTCATCTAGTTCTTACAAATGAGGAAGCTCAAGTTCAAAAAAGTTAAGTAACTTGCCCACAGAGCTGGCAACCAGAAGACACCAGTGACACCCACCCACCAGATTCATGGACTTTGGTGATTCATAACTCCCCATCGTCCTTCCGGGGAGCCTGATACTATCCACAAAGTTACCTCTGGAATCGCAACAAAAGAGCCCGCTTTTCCCTTCCTTGGATTCCTCTCCAGGATTTGGGCTTACTGGTTGCTCAGGCTTCTCACCAACCAAATATTCAAGAAGCAGAGGAAAACTTCAGGTTCCCCTCCTACAAGGGAACCTGGAAGAAGAGAACACCATTTAGTACTTACTGGGTGTTCCAGGTTCACTTTTAAAATAAACACTTAACTTTTAATCTTTTACTATTCTACTTGAAGAGTGCTGACATCGCTCAAAGGGGCCAGTATGCCACTGCCTCATTAACAACTAATGACGGCACTTTAATTTCCTTAGATGTTAAAGACTATTCCTACATCCCAGACGGAAAAGGAATAAATTACTTTTCCCCAGAGCCAAAGACCTGACACCCACTCTGGGCTACAGGGTCTAAACTTAAGACTTCCCAGTGTGAAGGACAAGAACAGAGATTGTTTGGTGACTCTGGAGATGTTTATTCCAGATACAATTTTCAGCCCTGAACGGTCATTGCAAGTCTACATCTCCGAAGAAAACTCCTTGGCACAAAAATATTATATGCACCAGCAACTTAGCTTCAAAACCTCACACTATGCCTGAACTGTCATACGCAGCAGCTGCTAGCCGCATGTGGGTTTTAAGTTTTAACTTAAAAATTAAATAAAGTGTAAAATTTGGCTTTTCGGTCGCACTGGCAACAAGTCAAATGCTCGTGCCTAGTGGCTACCCTACTCAACAGCAAAGGTAAAGACTATGTCCGCTGGGGCAGAGAGTTCCACAGGGCAGAGCAACCAACAATCAGCACTGAGTGGGAAGTCATCCGAGAACACCGCTGTCTCTCCCGCGGCTGGCACGGCGGCGTCCCGCGAGGCGGCGACGCGGCTCCTGGGCCGCATGTACCTTCCAAGGTGGCGAGATATCTGCGAGGACACGGACCCACGCGCTGGGGGACCCTTCACAGGCGGACGTTAACTAACCGCGCGGCCGCCCTGCGACATCTCCCAACACTGACTCGAGTGGGGAGCCCCGGAGGCGGCGCGCCTGCCTGCGCGCCCGTTGGGGAGGGCCCAGATGTGCCGGCGCCAGTCGGTCAGAGGCGATGGCCTCTGACCTCTCCGCGAGCTGAGGCGTTAGGAGGAGAAAAAAACGGAGACGCCAAGCACTCGCCGGCTCGCTCGCCTCGGCCATATACTTCAGCCGCCCCTCTGCAGACGGCGGCGGGAGTTAAGATGAAGTACCGGCTGCCCGAGGCGCCGAGGCCTCAGGGGCGACGACGAAGGCGGAGCCCCGGCCGGGCTTGGGAGGCGCGCTGAGAGCCCACCCCCCTCCCCCGGCCCGCCGGGTAAACAAGGCCGCAACTCTGTCCTCACACTTACCGGGGGCCGCGATCCCTCGGCCGCTGAGTCCGGGCGGGCCGGACTGGGTCAGGCCGGACCAGAGGGAACGGACCCTGGCGGGACGGCAGCGGCGGCGGCGGCCGACGCCGGTCAAGGCCCGCGCTACTTCCTCCGCCGGAGCGTTCTCCGCAACTCCGGAAGTGCTCGGCGCGTTTGCGTCACTTCCGGCCCGGGGTCGACCCGCGGTCGCTGGGGTCGCGGCGGGCGCAGTGTAATAATTACCCTTCCGTCAACACTTGTTTCTGGCTCAGTGCTCGGTCCCAGAGGCTGCCCTCGTGGGCACGCCGGGCTCCGGGGGATGCGGAAAGCCGCAAAGTAGAGGGTTCGGCTTACTGCGGCATGGTCACAGCATCGCTTCCTGCTTTCGGGTATCAGCGCCACCCGCCGGGATACTTTTAACCAGCGTTTTTCTGATGGACTCCTCACTTTGCTCTTTGTACTCGGGTGCTGGACACGGTTATAACTTGGCGTCTGTGGAGTGGATAAAGGACTGTTGTTTCTCTCAGGGCCTTTGGGTCAGCGCGCCAGGCCCGCATTACGCCTATGCTTTGAGGCCGTCGCCTAGGTGGCCCCTGAGCAGCCGAACTCTCCGCACCCTGCCCTGATTCGCTGTCCAGTTCTTCCGCTTCCCATTCAACGTATGAGACAGTCTTAACTGCCTTGCTGTACATCTTTTTCAAACAGTATAGGAAGTACCAGCTATGACTTGTCGTGCTTTCTAGGACCTGTTGTCAACTGTTAAGGGTAGACTGAGCCACGGAGGTCCACTCAAGTTGCTGCTGCACGAGTGGAAACGCCATTGTGAAGCCGGTGATGTTAGGGAGTGCCCTAGGCTGTGCAAGTGCATAGATAACCCAAACCATTCCCACCCATGCACTAGTCGTATATGTACTGATATTCGAGATACCTGTGTGTAATGGGGCTCTCTAACTTAGTTCTTGCTTCTTGTATGTACTGGTGTATTTCTCATACATGAGATTCAGCTTCCAGTTTCAGAACATATGCCTAGGTCAGGTGCAAATACGTGCTAGAAAGACCCAAATTAATTCGGAGTGAAAATTAATAGTAATAAGTTAAAATGTATTGTAGGGTCGTGAATTTTGTATATCAGCATCATAAAAGTGTACTATAATCTACTGTACTTACTACATTTGTTTTGAGGAAATATCCCTTTAAATTATTATACTAGCAAAGGACCCAAATTATATTTTCTGCAAATGAAATGTCAACTAGAAGTTCTCACTTTGGGCTACTGGTAATAAATCCTCTCTTGGTGAGTAAAAGGGAAACAATACGTTTTTCTATAGAATATTCTTTTTGCAAAATAGAAAAATGAGGTCACTCACATATTTAGCACACTAGTATACATACAATATATTGGAATCCTATGTATTATACTTAATTGTCTGCCTATCTTTCCCCTTGTACAGATCCAACCTGTTTTCAATATTACTACATTAAATAAACATGTATTGGGCTATGATAATAACAATTTTATTTTTTTAAGATTTTATTCACTTTTAGAAAGAGGGGGAAGGAGGAAGAGAGGGAAACATCAATGTGCGAAACAGTGCCTCTCACACACCCTCAACTGGGGACCTGGCCAGCAACCCATTCATTTGCCCTGACCAGAAATGGAATCAGCAATCTTTCAGTTTGCAGGCTGGCCCTCAATCCACTGAGCCACACCAGCCAAGGCAATAATGACATTTTTATCTGTCAATTTCTCCCCAAGAAATAAAGATTTTAAAATTAAGCCAAGCCCTAGGCCCAGTAGTTCAGTTGGTTAGAGTGTCCCTGATATGCCAATGTTGCAGGTACAGTCCCTGGTCAGGGCACACACAAGAAGCCACCAATGGCCCTGGCTGGTGTAGCTCAGTGGACTGAGTGTGGACTATGAACCAAAGGGTTGCCCTGTTTGATTCCCAGTCAGGGCTCATGCCTGGGTTGCAGGCCAGATCCCCCGTGGGGGGCATGCGAGAGGCAACCACACACTGATATTTCTCTCCCTCTCTTTCTCCTTCTCTTCCCCTCTCTAAAAACATACAAATAAAACCTTTTTTTAAGAAGCCACTAATGAATGCATATTTAAGTGGGACAACAAATTAATGTTTTTCTCTCTACTGTTTTATCTCTAAAAATCAATTAAAATAACTATTTATAAAAACAATTTCTCTAGATTCTTCCTTAAGAATATATCCAGAATCCAAATATTCTCTTTTTTTAAGATTTTATTTATTTATTTTTAGAGAGGGAAGGGAGGGGGAGAGAGAGAGAGAGAGAAACATCAATGTGCGGTTGCTGGGGTCCGAGGCCTGCAACCCAGGCATGTGCCCTTGACTGGGAATCAAACCTGCAATGCTTTGGTTCGCAGCCCGCGCTCAATCCACTGAGCTACGCCAGCCAGGTTTCAGAATCCGAATATTCTTCACCACCTCCTCTGCTATGCCCTGATCCAAGCCAGCATTCCTGACCATGATCTTCAGCCTCAACACGTCCTGCTTTTTCCCTGCTCCCTACAGTTTATCCTCACCCAGCAGTCAGAGGGCTCCTATTAACTCAGACTATCGCTTCCTTGCTCAAAACCCCAGGATGGCTCCCATCTCCTTCAAAAGAGAAGCTGCTGTCCTCACAATGACAAAGTCTGCCTTGCATGCTACCATCACCTCCATGTCTTCATCAGCTACTCCTCTTGCTCTCTCTCGCTCTGCTGTAGCCACAAAGGTCTCCCTGTGGCTTCTAACAGACCAGGCACAGACCATCTCAGGGCTTTTGCATTTTATTTTCCTCTGCCTTGGAAGGTCCCTCAACCCTCAAACCCGTGGACAGGACTCACTTCCTCACCTTCTCAGGTCTTGAATCCAGTCACGTCAGTGAAACCCTTCCTTACCTAATGAAAATTGCAAATTACTCTGTCCCGCTCCTAATCTTCTTTCCAGGTTTATTTCTCCCCATAGCAGTCATCCCCAGTTGATACGATGCATCTTTCACTCATTTATCTTTGTTACGGTGTGAACTCCACAAAGACAGTGACTCGTGTGCTGTATAACCAGCTGCGCCTCCAGCACCTGAAAGGGTGCCTGGCACACAGCAGAGGGCAAACGAATTCTGCCCAGCGAATAAAGAAAAGGGAGTACAGAGGAGGACGCATTTAAGTCTGGAAAGTCTTCCTGGATAAAAGCACCCAACCGCACACCCAAACCCACCACTCAGACCGCGTTAAGGCCAGCGCAGCTTCCTAGGCCACGCCCATCGGGGGAGGGGCCGAGGCCGGAAGTAGCCCCACGGCGGAAGCTCCGCGGGTCAGTCTAGGCCCACCTCCCGACCTGCCCCGGGTTCTTGCCCCGCCCACCCGAAAGTGGGTGAAAGGTCGGCGGAGCCGGAGCTGCGACTAGGGCAGTGCAGCCAGGTGACAGGGAACGTGCAGGCTGACTGACAGACGGACCATGACAGACGAGGCGAAGCCCATCAGCCCGCTGAAGAATCTCCTGGCCGGCGGCTTTGGAGGCATGTGCCTGGTGTTCGTGGGGCACCCGCTGGACACGGTTAAGGTGCGAGGAGGCTGGGGCGCGGGTTAGGGGGAGGAGGCCCCGGCAGGGCGCGGAAAGCAGGGTCTGCCGTGAGGCGCGCTGCGGGACAGAAAGGGGGCCCGTGGGAGCTTCGGGGAGAAGTCGGGGAACCTCCCTTTCGCCCCTCTCAGGGGTTCGTGAAAGCTGTTCCTCGCGCCGCAAAGAGCTGGGTCGCGCAGAGTGAGCCGCAGCTAACCAGCCGTCAAGGACCGTGATTTCAGGTCCTCCGACCCGTAGCCTCCCCTGACCTTGCGCCACTTCTTCGGGGATGGGGAAGAAAAGGCGCCTCCCCAGAGCTCCGATTTCAGCAAACCCTGACATTATCGGTTAGGCTGAAATCCGTCGCCGGTAAATCTCGCCTCAGAAAGAGGCACGGATATTCCGGAGAGGTCTTTTGACGCATTGCTCTGGGTCCGAGTGCCCATTACTGTCTCCTTCCGCTTCCCCCCTCCAGAACGGGGCTTGGCGGTCTTCGGCCTGTCACCTCATATTAGCGTAAGTGGCCTCCAGTGGGAAGTGATGATTTCCTCGGGGACGGGAGCCCCTGCTAAGGAAGCCTGTGACCAACTTTGTCTCCGGCCAGGCCGATGCTCTCAACTCCCTCCCAGGTGCGGAAGCCACGCTCACACGGAGGCTTTGGGAAGGAGAAACCTCACCTGGGCTTTTCCCCGGGCTTCCTCGCGTCCTGCCTGCCTCAGCTGCTCCCGCGGCAGCACTTCCAGCCAGGCCTTCATGGAGGCGAAAGCCCGTGAGCTAGGATCTAGGGTTGAAAGCTTCCTCCTGCTTTGTAACCTTATTTCTTGACACACATTGGGAGGAAATCGACAAATCACGGCCAGGGTGCTGGGGAGCAGACGTGAGTCTCAGGGAGTAGGAAGCCTGGGGAGGGGGCTTACTAGAATTCATCTCGGGTTTCCAACCCGGGGAAATAGCTTTAGGCCATGTCCTCTTGGCAGATTCGGGCAGTGACTTATTTGCTACCTTTCACCTGGGAGAGGAGCTGGGGCCATTTTTTGGCAAGACCAGGATCGAAGCAACCTGCCTGACTAGGACACAGTGACACATGAAATCAAATGTTTATTTAGCTGATGGTACTTCCGCGTGTTTACTGCTGCTTCCCAGACAGTGATGGTTCTAAGCAACACTGTCTAGTAAGAGAAAAGAGCCCTGGCTGGTGTGGCTCCGTGGACTGAGCACAGGCCTGTGAACCAAAGGATCACTGGTTCGATTCCCAGTCAGGGCACATGCCTGGGCTGCAGGCCAGGTCCCCAGTGGGGGACGCATGAGAGGCAACCACACACTGATGTTTCTCTTCCTCTCTTTCTCCCTCCCTTCACCTCTCTCTATAAATAAATAAATAAAATCTTTGGAAGGAAAAAGGAAAAGAATTGTCTGGCCCCTCTTCCTATTTTTTTAAATTAGTTTTCAGGTATACAACATCATTTGACATCTGTATACACTTCAAAGTGATCACCCCCAAAAGTCTAGTTTCTATCCATCACCATGAAATTGACTCCCGTCACCACTTTTGCCCATCCCAACCACCCTTCCCTCTGGTAACCACCAATCTGTTCTCTGTATCA